ACTTCAAACTACCATAACCCCACTGTATGTCATATTCGACCCCTTCCACAGTACTCATCTTGCCTTTGTGTCTGTCTGTCTTTTTCATCTGTGAATTGCTCTTCTTTTCCCCTGTCCAATTTTTCTCACTTTAATGTTCCTCCCTTCTGTGAAGCCCGAAGTCAACTAAAGGGCTAATGATAACTATCAAAATGCCTGCCATTTGAAATAAATAAATAAATATGCCCAAATGGTGCGGTTGACGCTTTCCTTTAGCAAAGCGAATAGTTAGTTGCTTCGAATTCAATGAATGAAAGAGTTCTGAAGCGGATTGCTACGTTAGTAAAGCCTGACTAACTCAGAAATCTCTATGGCAGATCCTCCAACATCTAGCTAGACTCCCAGAACCAGCTAAGCTATATCTCAGCTATAAAGGAAACAGACGCGTAGCACGGAGCACGTTTATTCAGGACGTATATTGCGGATCAAGTGTATACACAGGGAGCTACTCATGATCAGGATGGGGGGGATTAGGTTAAACAGAGGTTGATGATTGGTCACTGTTTGTACGGTCGCTGCACACAGAGTTGTACGGCGCACCTCCCAATCCTGACGAGCAGACATGCAGGCATACGATGACGCACACAGAGATAACGTGTCCCACAGTTCTTTATCCATATTGGTCGAAGTATGCTGGTGAGGAAAAAATTCCGTTTCTTGATCTTTTAGTGAGGGGAAAAGCGCCCACCTAGAAATAATAAAAGTGGCAATCATTTTGAACGCCTTCTTTCTATCAAATTTATTCAAATAAACATTAGACTGAAGGAGGCTTTAATCGATGTGTTCCAGTTAATAATAATTACTAAATTGTATGTTAAGATTCGATGCTGCAGCCATATTGGCCTTAGTGTGTTTCAATTTAGTTCTAACACGTATGATGTCATTTCACATCTTAATTAAGTAGCGCAGTATTAAAATAGCCTATCAAATCTTAGGTAGAAGTATCACTGATGCACTCTCGTAATGTAAACGCAGCGTTGTTTATCTTGAGCCACCATTGTTAACACTCAGTTCGCAAGTCACAATGGATAGCGAAAAGGATAATTGTGAACCCTCTGCTGATTGGAATCCATCAATTCCCACAAACTTCTTCAACCAACTTCGACAAAATGGTCATCTAATTGATTTGCACATTGTTGTAAGCATAATGAATAATTTATACGTTTATAATAATTAATATCTAGACAAAGGAGAATCGCAAGATTCCAGCTCATCGATCGTTTCTTTGTGCTCAGTTTCCAGGAATTATGAATCAATTACTGCAGAATCAAGGTCCGACTATGAAATGGCACCGATTCTCCACCGAGTACATAAACATCCGCATTCTTTTCATCACTGTTGATTCATTTCAGACTTGTCCAATTAGTGATAGACTTTGTCTACACAGGCAAAATTGAAATAAGCGCGGACAATGTTGGTCAGCTCTACTTATTGGCACATCATCTTGGATCGCAATCTCTAAGCAAAGTTTGTCGAAACTTTATCAAAAAGAGGTAATTCATTGCCATATGAACTCCACATGTGCAATTCCATAGGGATTTGCTATGAGCACGCAGTGACGTTTTGTTTAGGCTAAGCCCATAATATTATGAGAGCCAAAAAAATCATGTCTTATGGTGACTTCATTTGGAGTTAATACTTTTCGTGAAGCGACTCTAAACTAAAAGTTTAAAGAGAGGAAAAGAGAAAGTTATCTCTTTGAAAGTAAAGTCATTACAGAGAACAACACGATGCAGCAGCCGCTACCACAAATGGGATGAAAGCTAGTTGAATCAGAAATATGTGAATTGGACAAAAGATGGTGGAAACAGGAGAGAAGAAAGAATACGTTGTGCATTTAGGATTGGAAGAGTAGGGTAAGCGTCAGTAATGAGTGGAGTTTACTCGAGTTGTTGAAAACGGGACTTATTAATGAATGATGAGATGGTTAGCAGATTTTGTCTCATATAGTAATTGATAAACCTCCTACAAATAATAGATTGGCAAGTAGGCTGTCCTTTTGCAGAAATGAATGTCTGTTCACTAACATGGAGTTGACTATCTCAACCATGAGTTGTCGTGTGTGTTCCATAAATCATTAGCTCTTCTTACCTTCTCTAGATTCAGCCAAATCAATGTCAATGAGATTTGGATTATTGGCTCACTTCTAGGCAAACCTGATTTGAGAGAACAATGTATTCTCACGATTGCATATGACTTCGATTCTTTTGTCAAGGATCAGAAGTGTCTGCGATGGACGACTGCGAAGGACATGGAGGCACTTCTGAGTAACCCCTGGCTTTGGGCTCCAGATGAAGACTCGAGGTTGAAAGCAATGGTGTCATGGATAAACGCGGCTCCTTCATCGTTTGAAAGGGGCACCCGTGATATGTTCTTCCCACATCTTCTACCATCACTATATGTTAACAAACTTCCTCGTTCCTTTATAATTGATGTGGCTTCGGGGAAGTCGGACATTAACCTTTCTGACAGGTCAAGGTATACAATACAATTTAAGTTAAGCTCAATTTTCTTTAGACATTCACTTCTAGATTACTGGAAAACGTGTGATAAATGTGACAAAAACAAGTGAGCAAATATTTGTCAAAAAAATTCACTGACGATATAATTTGCAAATCTTTTAACAGTAAGAGAGAAACATGGAGGCCAAAACATCTTTTTTATCCGCTTTGCCAAAAGTTAAGGGAATTGAAACAGAGTTGAAGATCCCATACAGATACCGCAGCTGCATAGTTGCTTGTGATGGTAAGTTATAAGTTCTTCACCGTCTTTTGTGCCAACACCACACAAGTCCTGCACTGATCTACCCTTCATTTTAGCGTATATTTATGTGATTGGAGGTAGGACAAAGGAAGAGATCATTCGTTCCAATGCTTTAAGGGTTAATCCCTTTAATGGCAAGGTGAAGGAGACAACTTCAATGGCCAAGGGAAGAATGTTGGCTTCTGCAGTTACTGTCGAACATGAAATCCTTGTTTTTGGGGGACTTGAGAGAACGATAGTTCTTAATTCCTGTGAGAAATATTCGCCATTAGGTGACAAGTGAGTATTGGTTTTTTTCCGTCATGATAAACTCTTTGAAATGTCATTGAAGAATTGATTGATATACCTTTGGTGTTGGGCATAACAACTTTGGCCTCCAGCCTTCATAAATTAATTTTTGATTTCTAGAAATGAGAATGGCCATGTCTTTGGGAACTTGTCAGTTCCAAGAGGAGATCATTATTTTTCGTCGTCCAGTCCCACATTTCTTCTGTGATTTCAACAGAATATTTGCTCCAAAGGTGTAAGGATGAATAAAAAATGCAATTCTCAATAGTTTGACTAGGTCACCACACGTAGTTGGAGTTGAATAGAGACAGTCATCATAGTTATTTGAGAAAGCAGAACAGAGTGTAGAAGGGGAAATAAACGGATCTTTCAACTCTCTCGTCAACATAACTCTAATTCCATTGGGACATTATTATTGCAATATCACTGTTATTGCGATGCACTGGTACTTATTGGCACATTTGATTTGTGAGTTTCGAGGTCATTGAGACCAATTTGCCTATTGCAGATGGAAAAGCCTTCCCGATATGCCCACAGGCAGATTTGGAAGTGGAGCAGTACACGTTCCAGATATTGGAGTTTTAATTCTTGGGGGAGAAGCAGAATATAATGGAGAAGCACTGAATACTGTCGATTTGCTTCAAATTTCTGCGGACAATTCTTCTTGGTGCTCATTCACTCCAATGTTACAGCCAAGATACCGCCCTGCTGTAGAATTCTTTAAAGGATGTGTTTACGTTGCAAATTTTCAATCTAAACACCCACATACTACAGAAGTTCTTTCCATAATTAATGGCCGACAAGGTCAGTGGACGTTGATTTCGCAATCACTTTCCATCAAAAGCAGTTTATCATCAATGTTGGCATTGAATGACCATCTCTATGCTGGAAGTAAGTAGTTGTATATTTCTACGTTGTTATCACAAATCAACACCACCTCCCTCAAAATTAATTCTTAAAACAGCTGTAGGGGGAAGTATTTACGAACTGGAAATGCCTCATGGGGAAAACGTGAGTACCATTGCACCTCGTATAATGATAACTGTAAATCAATAACTATTGAAATGCGTACCTTTTGTAGAATGGGGATCAAAATGACTACAGTTGGGGATTTCGATTTCAAGTGCAAAAAAGTAAGTGTTTACAGCTTCTCAAAGTCCCTTCGAACACTTAATCCCTCACGTATAACACCACTTGTCATTTGAATTAAATAAACACGTAATTCTTTCAATTTTTTCACCTGCCTGTAACACACTTCACATACTAACGCTTTCCTCGTTTCGATTGTTTCCTCTTTAGTTTTTTGGTAGATTGGCTGGTGCTGGGAGCCTTTTCAAACTGGTAGAGGACGTTTTCGAGATTACTTAGGATAAGTTGGGGCTTATTAGTGTAGTGAGCTATACGTGACTTTTGTTTCAACTAAAATAATATTTTTCAATTACACTCCCAAACTTGAGACCTTTCCTTATAGGTATGTATTAGCAGGATCCAACTATGAGAAGACGTGAGTAACACAAGTTGGAGACAAGCAAGTGACTTGTATGTCGAAATTTATTCCTGAATGTGAGTAAAGAGGAGTTTATAAAAGCCATCGTTCAAAAATATACGCATTCAGCTCTACGCCTCAAATGAAACAAAACTAATCCCTGCAAATTTGGGCATTCAAAAGAAGAAAATCTGAGTTCCCTTTTCTTCACTTAAAGTTACCAGTGAGAGCAAATCATCTGTTGAACAGCAAGAATGGACACATCAATATTGAGTGCCATAGAATACTTGGTTCACTCGAGATTACTAAGATTCTCTTCTTCCGTTTTGTACTTAGAAGTGTAAAACAGGAGCATGCTTTCATAGTTTTAATCTGGGGATTGAGTACCATATCGAGCACTGTGTTTGTAGATGCTACACAAATTAGCCTCCTCTAAACCTCGACACACACCCTCTCTCTCACACACACAAGTTCCCTCAATATGAAAGTGCTCTCGAAAACAGCCATGTTGCCTCAATTGTTTCGAGGCTACGCACTTGCTCATTAAGCAATCGGCTGTACGCCGCACATTCTAGACTGCTCGAATGCACATACGAATTCTTTGTCCATAGTCGTAATCTTGATTGTGAGTACCATATTGATCACTGTGCTTGCTGTAAATAGAACAAAAAGTAGCCTAACTACATCTCGAAAATCGTCACTGGCAAATTTCTCAGTAGCGAAAGTGCTCTTGAAAACAGCCACGTTGCCTCAAAAGTTTCGAGGATACGTGAGAAACCCTAGACAATGCAAAATGTGTGACGCCTTGATGGCCAAAGCACTGTTAAGGCTGTTTTCCACTCCGAAGTCTCCCAATTTCGCAATCCATCTTAACCCCACCAGCATTCCTTTTACTGAATGCTAAAATCACATCTTTAATTCGTGCCTTTGATGAGACCTTTCGTTTTCACATACCACATACTACGATCTGGACAGATGATAAATAGAAAAAAGGGTGGATTCTTTTAGATCTTCATGACCATAAATGGGTCCGACCATAGAGAATTTTCCATCTCCTCAATTTTTTTTTTGACGTACAGTGGATTGGCGAGTATTGGGCCAATAATAGAGCTATACAAAATCCAGTGAATACTAACTACTGCCATCAAATCGATCTGGCGAGGCATACCTAAATTTAAATACATTCCTACTTTAATTCATAAATGAGTTTTCAAATAGTAGAAGTTTGAAACAAGAATTTGTAATCCCTTGAATTAAGTGACTTAGAGACGAGGGATCAAGTATATTTGTGTGATATGGTTGACTAACCTATTAAAGAAATTTTCAACTCAAAGTTTCCCTGAGTTGGCAATTTGAATTTTTACCATTAAGGTAATGAGCAGAATTGATCGTAGGAGTTGACTATGCCTAACACCACCGAGCAGTCATCTAGTGGCCTACAATTAGGCTATCCAACATTTCAATTAATAATTATATTTTTATATCAAATGGTAGGCGTCTTGATGGTTATCATTAGCCCTTTAGTTGACCTCAAATTGAAAAAAAAGTCGAGAGGGGGAACAGAAAAGTATTTCAAAGATGTAAAAGAGACAGACACAAAGGTAGAGTGAAAAAGGTGAGGTGAGTACTATGGAAGTAGTCGAATATGGCATATAGTGATGTGATGATAGTTTGAAGTGAGAAGTCAACAGCCAGTTAATAGACTTTTTAGCCGTATGAGTATACGTTGCCCAGGGTGCACCACGTGGAGGTAAGTCTATCGCACACCCCAATTAATAATTATAGTTTCCCTTGTTTTAAGGAAATTTCGAATTAAGAAGGAAATGGAAAAATGGTTTTACATTGAAGCGCAAGAAAACAATTTTCATAAAACCTTGCAAATCAGTTGTCACTTTGTAATCTTTGCCAAATGTTTTTTCAATTCAAAAGATCTCCTTCACTTATATTTTAAGCAAAAATTCTTAAAACGCACTTCCTTCACAAGAACCACATTGGACACCCTTGGCCACTACTGGAAGGAAAGGTCAAGGTTTCACAAATCCAAATGAGAACTCACCTTGCTAACTTGAAAATAAGTAGTTTAATTCTCGTAGATAACTGACTACTGAAAGTGTTGATTTTGTTTAAGATAAGATAGTGATTTAATCACCACGACGTAATTAACCGACCGTTGTATAAACTAATGAAAAGTGTAATCAATGTTGATAAGTTCAAAATACTGTTAATGGCAAGTTCATTATATTAAATGGCAGGCGTTTTGATAATTATCATTAGCCCTTTAGTTTTTCACAGGGAGGAGGAACATCAAAGTGAGAAAAAGTTGACGTTTGGATAGTTATCATTAAATAGTTATCATTAGCCCTTTAGTTGACTTCAGGCTTCACAATAGTTATCATAAGCCGTTTAGCTGACTTCAGGCTTCACAGAATGGTTATCATTTGCCCTTTAGTTGACTTCAGGCTTCACAGAGTGGAAGGTACATCAATTTGAAAAAAAGTCGAGAGAGGAGGGGGACAGAAGAGTGTTTCAAAGATGTAAAAGAGACAGACACAAAGGTAGAAAAAAGGTGAGGTGAGTACTATGGAAGTAGTCGAATATGACATACAGTGAGATTATGGTTGTTTGAAGTGAGAACTCAACTGCCAGTCATTAGACTTTTTGCCGTATGAGCATACGTTGCCCAGTGTGCACCACGTGGAGGTAAGTCTATTGCACACCCCATGATGCAAATGTTAGTTCGACAGTGGTGGAAAATCAGAAGCTTTAAAGGACTTAAAAGCAATGTAAATGTTTTTTTCAGGCCTTTATATACTTACCAAAATATCATTCTCCCTTATCATAAAAGTGTATCTTATTATCATCATTATCCATGATTAAGTGGAGGACTATACGTTTATTTAGGGGTTTTGGAAAAAGAGCGAAATGCGCAGATGTTCAAATAAGTTGTCAGAACAAATAAAGTCTTCAATATTGGATTTCCACATTTATTGTGATTTCTTGTTTCTTATTACCTGAATAAATGTCCAGACATTCGTCTTTTAGACATTAATAGCCAATCTTCTGGGTTATTTTTCTCCTACCATGCTAAATGCACATATAATATTTGAATGAATTGTGTAATCCCTTTTCATACCCTGAAATGGCTGAAATGTGTGAGTATATTTTAACTAAGATATATATTTATTTATTTAAAATTTGGGTCTGCGATAGACTTACCTCCACGTGGTGCACCCTGGGCAAAGTATACTCATACGGCAAAAAAGTCTATTGATCGGCAGTTGACTTCTCACTTCAAACTACCATCACCTCACTCTATGCCATATTCGACTATTTTCCCAGTACTCACCTCACCTTTTTTCTACCTTTGTGTCTGTCTCTTACATCTTTGAAACACTCTTCTGTTCCCCCCTCTCGACTTTATTCAATTTGATGTTCCTCCCCCTCTGTGAAGCATGAAGTCATCTAAAGGGCTAATGATAAACATCAAGACGCCTGCCATTTCATATAAATAA